AGTGGCGATGTTCACTACTACACACCGCTACTACACCAGCTACTCATTTGAGGCCGAGTAGACCCAGGGGAGGCCCAGGACCGGTTCAGAGAATCGCCACCGGTGGTGTTGGCCGCGAGCGGGAATCGAACTCGGGTTCGTAGCGCAGCGCTAACCGCTGCACCACCGCTCCCCCCACGTGAACGTCCAACGGGGACCCAACGGCGTTGGTCACGGATCGCCGGTGACGAAGAGGAGAAGCAGGTTCCAGTTCTGGGAGGAGCGCAGGGGTTTTTTGATGTTGTTGTTGTTGCACGTGTGTGTGTCTGTGTGTGTGTCTGTGTGTCAGTGTGTCTGTGTGTCAGTGTGTCTGTGTGTCTGTGTGTGTGTGTCTGTGTCTGTGTGTGTCACTCTGTGTGTGTGTCTGTGTGTGTGTCTGTGTGCGTCTCTCTGTGTGTGTGTCTGTGTGTGTCTGTGTGTGTCTCTGTCTGTGTGTGTCTGTGTGTGTCTCTGTCTGTGTGTGTCTCTATGTCTGTGTCTCTTTGTCTGTGTCTCTGTCTGTGTGTGTATCTCTTTGTTTGTGCCTATGTCAGTGTCTCTTTGTCTGTGTGTCTCTTTGTTGGTGTGTGTGTCTGTATGTGCGTGTGTGTCTCTGTTTCTCTGTGTGTGTGTCTTTGTCTGTGTGTCTTTGTCCGTGTGTCTCTTTGTCTATGTGTCTCTTTGTCTGTCTCTTTGTCTGTGTGTGTGTCTCTTTGTGTGTGTGTGTCTATGTCTGTGTGTTTGTGTCTATGTCTGTGTGTGTCTCTTTGTTTGTGTGTCTCTTTGTGTGTGTCTCTTTGTGTGTGTCTCTTTGTCTGTGTGTGTCTCTTTGTGTGTGTGTGTCTATGTCTGTGTGTTTGTGTCTATGTCTGTGTGTGTGTCTATTTGTTTGTGTGTCTCTTTGTGTGTGTGTCTCTTTGTGTGTGTCTCTTTGTCTGTGTGTGTCTCTTTGTTTGTGTGTCGACCAAATATCGGGAGCGGTGGTGTAGTGGTTAGCTCTACGCTGCGCTACGAACCCGGCGACACGAGTTCGATTCCCGCTCAAGGCCAACACCGGTGACGATTATCTGAACCCGTCCCGTGCCTTCCCTAGGTCGACTCAGCCTCAAATGAGTGGCTGGTGTAGCGGTGTGTGGTTAAACATCGCCACTGGGGGAGACAAAAGCGGCCGGGCGTGGCGCTGGCCACCCACCCCCTCTGTGTGTGCCACAGTGCCGGTAGCCTTCATAGGTGACGCTGCTTCTCGCTACTAACAGCACTTGCCCCTACAGCCTGTTAGAGGTTACACGGGGGATCTTTATCTTTGTGTGTTCGTGTGATGTCCGCTGTTCCACGCGGGTGGCGCCTGCCCAGTTCCCCTGGCCCACCTCGCTCCACCAGAGCCACAGAGCGGCCTCGCGGGATACGGAAAACCATCCTCAACCTCACTGGACTACTCAAACCAACGGAGTGGGTCCATGGACCCCCACACCCACCAGTGGCGGATTATCCTAGCAGCTAAAGTTGCAATACATGATCTTCTTGGTTCTTTCGGTAAATTCACGTAGAATGGAAATAATAAAATAATAAAAATAAAACATAATTCTCACGACGTTTCGGCCACAATGCAAGCAGCCGTCCTCAGGTGAAGAACAGGTCTGTCGAGAAGTCATTCAGACTCTGTCTCTCGACAGACCTGTTCTTCACCTGAGGACGGCTGCTTGCGTTGTGGCCGAAACGTCGTGAGAATTATTTAATGTTTTATTTTTATTATTTTATTATTTCCCTTCTACGTGACTTTACCGAAAGAACCAAGAAGATGAATCCCTGCAGTCACGAAAGCTTTAAATCGAAATTTGCTATAAATGCTATGGGCCCCGCACTTTCAAGGGCCCCGCAATAAACTCTTTCAAACTATCAATTCCGGTTCAGTCATTCTGCACGTGCTCTAATACTATAGTACTACACTGCCTTCAACTTTTATGGACGACTGATTGTTTAAGGTGAGCGATTTGTCGTATTATCTGGTTGTATAGCAAATGTAAAAAAACAATTACTTTACTATGCAAGTAAACAAAAAGATGTCTTTTAATATTTCTGTTTTTTTATTTAGGGCCCTTTAATGACCACATATCAGAGGTCGCAAACGGGTTTTGATTCCTTACCCGTACCCGGCCGCACCAGGGTCGCAAACGGCTACCCGCGGGTAGCCGGGTATCGGGTAGGGTACGGGTATCGGGTACCCGATTGCGACCTCTGCCACATATGCTACATGCCCCGCAATTCGCTTCATCCGGCACCGAAACCTCCCCCACCCGCCCATCCCCTGTCAGTCGGTAAAGTTTGTCACGTAAACAACACGCCGACAAATTGGTGACCACTTCAAACCCGGACCGGTCGTCGTCGTCGTTGTTGTTGTTTCGCTGGAGAGTAAATCCGCAACATTTACAACTCGCGACGCGGCATCGAGCGACGATTTGCCAAGAATTGTGACGCGTTCCGCCCCTCTGCTTCCGGTCTTTAAGGAGAGCACGGTGACGTCATCGCTGTGAGCCAATCAGGTGTAGTGTATGGACGTTTCGATTTAAAGCTTTCGTGACTGCAGGGATTCATCTTCTTGGTTGTTTCGGTAAAGTCACGTAGAAGGGAAATAATAAAATAATAAAAAATAAAACTTTATAATTGTATTATTTTATTATTTCCCTTCTACGTGACTTAAAAGTATTTTATTATTTCCCTTCTACGTGACTTTACCGAAACAACCAAGATGTATGGACGTTTTTTCTTGCTGTGGTTGTCACACCTGATGACGATTGCTTGTGTTGCGGTCGAAACGTCGTGATCTATGAATATTCTACCTACGTTACTTTACCGAAAGAACCAAAGAGAATGGTGGGGGGGGGGGGGGTATTGTAACTATATAACAATTGATTTGTTAATCACAGTTGATTGGCACGTGATGCCTTTACAAGGAATGCATTTGTAAGGTGTAAGACGCGCCTGTCAACCCGTACGGTGTACCCCGTATTCTTGTGCAGGGAAATCGAGTTTTTCAGGTCCATACGGCGCACAGCAGAAGTCGCAACCGGGTACCCGATACCCGTACCCTACCCGATACCCGGCTACCCGTACCCGGCCGGGTACGGGTACCCGTTTGCGATCCTGGTGCGGCCGGGTACGGGTAGACCGTGAGTCACTGGTGAGTCACCGTTTGTCACTCATTTCCCAACGTCTTGTCTCTTCTCACAATTCAAGTTCCTAGAATCAACCCACCCGCGCCTGCAACATGGCTTCATCCCAGAGGTCGCAATCAGGTACCCGATACCCGTACCCTACCCGTACCCGGCCGGGTACGGGTAGGGTACGGGTACCCGTTTGCGACCCTGGTGCGGCCGGGTACGGGTAAGGAATCAAAACCCATTTGCGACCTCTGGCGCACAGCCGTTTCAAGACGGGCAGCAAAAATGTGTCTATTTGTGTTTCTCCCTTGTGATGTGACTTTGTAGGATGAACGTTGATATTTACAAGGAGCACGGGGTGATCAATACAGGTCTGAATTGGGCTGTAATAAGGTAGGGCACTGATAAGGGGTTGACAGGTTTGGTATATAAGTGTAGTCTATAGTGAAGTGTATAGTAGTGTAGTGTTTAGTGTAGTTTATAGTAGTGTAGTGTATAGTGACTTTGTAGGATGAACATTCAGAATTATAAGGGCACGGGGTGACCAATAAGGAATGAATTGGGCTGTAAAAAGGTAGGGCACTGATAAGGGGTTGACAGGTATGGTATAAAAGTGTAGTCTATAGTGTAGTGTATAGTGACTTTGTTGGATGAACTTTGAACATTATAAGGGCATGGGGTGACCAATAAGGCCTGAATTGGTCTGTAATAAGGATGGGGCACTGATAAGGGGTTGACAGGTACGGTAATTGTCTACCAATAGATCGTTAATCACAGTTGAATAGCACGAGATGCCCTTACAAGGAATACAATTTTAAGGTGTACGACATTCACACTTAGACGATCCAATCCAAAAACCTTTATTGTGAATAATATCGGTCTCGAAAGCCCGCTCCGTGCTAAACGTTCAGTCAGCTGCGCTCTGCCAACCAACAGGACCGAAAACCAACAAGAAACCTCGATCCTAAACCTTCAATGGTGTCCCCACCCCGAGTAGGAAGTGCCGGTCAAGACAGCATCTGGGCCGTTCTGCTACAAAATCTTCACTCACAAGACCCTCCGATTAAAATGTCCCCCATGGCTGTTTACTTAAGTTACCAAAGAAGAGTCAATTTCGACAAAACAACTTTCATGCCCCTAAGACTGCCCCAAGATCTCTCCCGGTGCACACCGACACAAATTTACAGCCGCCCGTCGCCACTAAGTGACGGCAACGGCACCCGTGCCAGGCCAGGTGCACTTTGTTGTGGGTTCTTCCTGGTGTCAAACCCCCTTCCAATATCACCTCTCTTTCTGTGTGTGCGCACGTGTGTGTGTATACCTGATATATTTTTTGCGTATAATAATAACAAATACGCGAACATTCAGACTGCCGTTCTCTCGAGATCTGTCCAGCAAACTTCGATATTGCACAAGACCCGGTTTAAAGCTTTCGTGACTGCAGGGATTCATCTTCTTGGTTCTTTCGGTAAAGTCACGTAGAAGGGAAATAATAAAATAATAAAAATAAAACATTAGAAAATACAATTCTCACGACGTTTCGGCCACAACGGAAGCAGCCGTCCTCAGGTGAAGACAGACCTGTTCAGTTACACACGTTTCGGCCACAACGCAAGCAGCCGTCCTCAGGTGAAGAACAGGGCTGTCGGAAAAACAGCGTCTGAATGAACACTACCAAGCTTGGCAGCGTATATTTACACTCCTCTTGATATGCAAATGTCTTTGTCAAGGCGCTCTTCCCCCTCCAACCCAGCTTAAATATATGCTGCCAAGCCTGGTGGTGTTCATTCAGACGCTGTCTTTCCGACAGACCTGTTTTTCACCTGAGGACGGCTGCTTGCGTTGTGGCCGAAACTTCGTGAGAATTGTATTTTATTATGTTTCATTTTTATTATTTCCCTTCTACGTGACTTTACCGAAAGAACCAAGAAGATGCACAAGACCCGTACACACGCTCTCTCTCTCGCTCTCGCTCGCAGTTAAACCGTAAACTAGTATTACCGTCCACGTCAATCGAGACAATTTCGAATATATTACCCTGTACCCAAAAAACCCCAAAATATACATGTTTACATGACTTAATTTCCTTAGCAACTCCGCGCACGTGCTGCGTATTAGATTGTAACGGGGGCCACTCCGGCTACGAATGGTGTATATTTATATATATATGGGATTATCAAAGTAAAATGATAGGTTTCATTATTTTAGTTTGATGTATGACGTATCGCTGGTAATTACAACTTGCTTCATCAGGCGACAGCCAGATTTGTGATCTGGATGTCGCCTGATGAAGCAAGTTGTAATTACTGGCGAAATGTCATACCCAGATTGTTAATGTTGTGGCTTGGCTCTCCAACACACCAGTGTGCTGTACTTGTAACGAATTGGCACGTCAAATCTAGATTATGGCACGTTCTGTTTACGTGACAACCCTTACTAGTTGGCTGTATCGGGTGATGCTTTTAACGACACATTTATATATTTACACGATCTAACCAAAAAACCTCTATTATGAATAAAACAGCAATTGTGTTAAGATGTTCAAACACCAAATAGAAACGTTGTGTAAGGAATCATGTTCTGCATTAGCTACACGTATCCGTGATACTGGCAAGGGAGGTCCCATGATGTAGCTGATCAACCCCAGCTATAAATGCTCTGATGGTGGCATTGTCTTTGTGCTGTTCCCCTTTTGGCGTCCTCTGGCCTAACACTAGTTGAGACTAGGCCCTAAAGAAAGCTGTCTCTGGTGTAGACCAATCAGTTTCAAAGACAATGCTTCATCATTTACTACCAGAGCATGCCTGCATGTTCACCGCAAGTATGGTGAATGCAGACGTGATTCCTTGGAAAAGGTTTCTGTTTGGTATTTTATTGCCAAAAAGGGTAAAACCGATTCTTAAAAAAAAAATGGCGTTTTCCAAATAAAGTAGTTCCCTCGGTTGCTGATTGGCCGAGGGCACGGCTTAGCCACGTGACTTTACCAGCGGCTCCAATTGGCCGAAATCGGCGGGGTGACCAATAAGGTCTGAATTGGTCTGTAATAAGGTAGGCCACTGACAAGGGGTTGGCAGGTGTGGTGGTTGTTAGATAAACAACAACCCGGTGATCACCATCCCGTGACCACCACCACCCCCTCTGACACAGCAGGGGAGGGGGGGGGGAGCGTAGGGATGTCGCTCATCCAGCAGCGGAGACTAAGCAGTGCTCGCCGCCGGGGCGAGGACTTGCAGCTCGGTCGATGGTGGCGTTCCGCTCTCGTTGTCCCTGTTCCTCCTCCTCCTCTCCCGCATCTTCTTCGCGATGACAAATCCCACAACGGCGACAGCGATCACCAGCAGAGCCACTGCGGCCAAAATTATGCCCGTGGTGGGCTCGCCGTTACCGTTGTCGTTTTTCCTGCTGGGAGCTTCCACCACTGTGAAGGGAGAGACAGAGAAAGAGGAGGCGTCGCGTTGAGAATGGTGGTGGTGGTGGGAGTAGTGGTGGAGGTGGTGGCGGTGGGGGTGGCGGAGAGTTCACAACCCACACGCACGTGGCACAGACTCAATCAGTGAGGCTGTGTCGAGTGGTGGTGGTGGTGGAGGTGGTGCCGATGATCTGGTAATTGCCGCTCACTCAGAGGAGGAATTGGAGGCGCTGCTGCTGAAACTGGAGCGTTCCGCTAAGAGGCGGGGCCTTACCATCAGCCCCACCAAAACTAAGCACCTGCCTGGGTGTTTTGTACCATCGGACACGCCACCCCCACAACTCCCAATCGGTGATCGGTGATGGACAGTTATGAAAAAAGTGGAGAGTTTCCCATACCTGGGCAGTGTGCTCATGACCGGCTCTGGTTTGATAGCAGAGGTCTCACGCAGAATCGGTCGAGCGGCATTATTTTTTCATCGGTTGCATAACGCTGTGTGGAAGCTACCTGGCCTGTCGCTCCGCACGAAGCTTCAAGTCTTCTCGGCCACAGTCTTTCCCTCCTTTCTCTACACTTGCGAAACGTGGACGCCCCTAATGGAGCATCTTTGCCGATTGGAAGCATTTAGGCTGGCCGGCCTACGATCCATCCTGGGTTTAACCAGGCTGGATTATGTGAGGAGCTCACAAATCATTGAAAGAACTGAGGAAAGTCCCATCGGTGAGCTCCTCCGGCAGGCAAGGCTGCATTGGCTGGGTCATGTAGCCCGCATGCCCAGTCACCGCATGCCTAAACAGCTTTTGTTCGGCAGGAAAGAGGGGTCTAAACGGGCGCGGCACAAGCTAGAGAAGAGATGGAGTGATGTGGTACAGGAGGATGTGGAGCTGAGTGGACTTGTCGATGACTGGTACCAGCGGTGTCAAGGTCGGCCTGTGTGGAGGAGGCTCGTGAAGGACGCTACTGGGCAGTTAGAGGCAGTCGCCCTCCAACAACAACGGAGGGCGGAGGAGCGACGCTCACAACAACGAGCGGAGCGCCGGGTGGCTAAAGCACAGCAAGTTGGCACAGTAGGGGGCACAGGTGGAGCATCAGCCAGTCATCTCAGTTCGTCGACCCGTGGCACCTGGGTCTGCCCCGTCACCTCCTGCCAGCGGGCATTCGACACTTAACGTGGCCTTAAGGTGCACATAGCCTGGCACAAGCGTCGTGGTGACGTCACTGACACTTAGTGGCGAATGGCGGTTGTTGTTGGTGGTTTCACAATCCACTGCCAATCAGTGCTGTCAAAACAGTTGATGCATCTGCCGGTCATCTCAGTCAGTCAACCCACGGCACCCGGATCTGTACCGTGACCTTCATAGGTGCTGCTACTCACAACAAACAGCACTAGCCCCAACAGTCTGTTAGAGGCTACACGGGGAACCATTGTCTGTCTACCTTCATAGGTGCTGCTCGCTAACTGGGGATATTTGTCTTTGTTTTTCAGTGAGGAAGTTACGAGTGGTTGTTCTGTGGGTAGACTTGCACCCACGATAGGAATGTGGAATTTCCACCACCGGCTAATCTGGGCTGTAAACTGTACTTTAATCTATAAACATTTTTTTCTTTTACCCAGGTCAAGGCCTTACTGAGCTGTGCAGCCCTTTGTAAGATAGGCGGCCTGGCTATCGCAAATGATAGCCGCTCAACCAAGTAGCCGATATCTTCATCATCGTCGTCACGCGGACATTTAGCAGCCAAATACCCTGAACGCATGACGTCGACTCTGGAGGACCCGCAGTAAAATCCACACCGCCACGGAGAGAGAGACGCAAACAGTGAAAGCGACGTTGTTGACAGGGTAATTGATCATGAATGGATTGAATGGATGGGGTTTATAAGTGAATAGCTATATAATGAGAATAATTATTATTCTGAAGGTAAATTATGAATGGGTTGAAGGAATGGGGCTAATCAGTTTCAGTTGCATGTATTAGGTACAGCCTTGTGAGCCGTGCGGCTCTTGATTTGAACAAAGAACATCTTAACGTGACTACACGCAACAGAAACATCCAGGAAAAACCAGCAAAATCTTCCAGAACAAAAAGCACCGTATATCAACGCCGTGTGCAAAAATCCCAGTGGGATGCAAGTCAAACAATAACAACAATTTAAATCAAAGTTATCAGGCTAACTCTGCACTTCAACAAACAAACATGGCCAAACCATACACCTTCGAAATCACCAAAATAAAGCTAGATAAACAACGTAACAGTGATCATAGGAACTGTGATTCAAATTTAACAGTAAACGATATACATAACATGTACGACAAAACTTTGCAGCCATAGCTGGCAGCATGAGTCACTCCATAACAGCTGGAGTATCAGCAGGAAAATCTAAATTTTTCAATGCACCTTTAAAGATCAGCACACTATAATCAAAACTCAAGATCATACTTTGCAGCGGACATCCGGAGCGATGCATTTGATTTCAGGCCACTGAATAGCAATGGCAGCTGGGGGTGTACAACTCCTCTAGAGCAGTTTTGAGTGCAGATCTCAGGGGTAGTGATCCAAGTTGCAGTTAATTTGTGATAGCATTCTAGACCCTGGGGGCATCAACAGTATTTGTACGGCAATAAGGAATGTGAAGCTGGTAAATGAGCGAAGACCTTAGGTCACATTTGTTCTTTGAAACAGTGAGGAGATCCAGCAGGTCGTCTGCTGATTTTTTTGTAAGTACATCGTGAATAAATAAGATCTGATGCACAAGTCGTCGATCATTAAGAGATGTTAAGTTTGACCCAATGTCGAGATCGCAGTGGTGGGTCCTGTAAGGGCAGTTCAATGCAAATCTTAAGGCCGAGTGATAAATTGGGTCAAACCTCTTCAGTACACTACTGGGGGCTGATTTATATACGATGTCACAGTAATAAAGTAGAGGAAGTATGGTAGCTTTTATCAATTCCAAACGGAAAATAGGGGGGAAGCAGTGCTTGTGTTGATACAGAAAACCAATTTTTAATTGTGATCTTGAAAATTCAGATTTGAATCAAAGATGACCCCAAGATACTTATATATATTGACTTGCTCTATTTGATAATTATTTAAGGAATGTAATTGTGGAAAAATAACTTCCTGCTTTAGTCCTGGTGAGAAGCATAGCACCTTGGTTTTGGAGGTATTCAGGACTAGTTTAAGAGCAACTAGCTGATGTTGTAGTTTGTTGAAATCACCCTGGAGCTTAGCAATCACGTCAAGTGAATAGCTGTACAATGATAGTATTGAAGGGGGGGGGGTTGTTTTACCTTTCAAAACGACGCTCAGAGTGATGCTCAGGTTGATATCCGAGTAAAAAGTTGCGCACGAGTAATCGCCGGCATCTTCGATTCCCACGGCCGAGATCTTGACGGAGGCGTTGCCCCGGCTCAGATCTCCCACCCACTCGATGTTGGGCAGTCTTGGAGTCGATTTGTCGTGGAAGACGAGGACCTGGATGTGGGTGAAAATTGTGAGCGATCGCGAGCGGGTGTGCTTGTGTGTGTGTGTCCTACACTGTTGGGGGGAGTGGTGGTGTAGTGGTTAGCGCTACGCTGTGCTCTGAACCAGGCGACCTGGGTTCGATTCCGGCTCACGGCCAACACCGGTTACGATTATCTGAACCAGTTCTGGGCTTCCTCCCCTAAGTCGACTCAATCTCAAATGAGTACCTGGTGCGGTGTGTAAACGTCGCCACTGGGGATACAAAGGCAGCCGGTCGTGGTGCTGGCCACCCACCCCCTCGTGTGCTGTGCCAGTCTTCATTGGTACTCACTAACAGCACTTGCCCCAACAGTCTATTAAGGCTATACGGGGGATCTTTGTCTTTATTTTTTGTCCTACACTGTGGTGGATGAGAGCAATGCCATGGAGAGGAGGGCAGTTCCAACATGGGCTCATCGCCTCATGGCGCTTGCAGCCACCACAGCAGCCAAATGGGGCATCTAGATGGATGCAAGGGGCTGGGAACCCTTCCACCTTTAATTCAATTACCACAAAAGCACGGGGAAAATATCGAGTTTGAGACGTGTCCTACACAACTTCATTTGGAGAAGCCAGGAGACTGAATCCTTGCCCTCGGAGTTCCTCCTGAAACAGCAATAAAACACTGCGGGTGGCCACGTGGAATGTTCGAACGCTCGCTGCGGATGAGAGGCTGCCACTCCTCTGTCGAGAACTGGACCGATACCGCCTGGCTCTCTGCGGTATTCAGGAGGTCCGGTGGACCGGCTCTGGATCCAGCCACCATGAGGGGTGTGCAGTCCTTCACTCGGGGCAAGAGACTGCCAAACAACAGGGAGTGGCTCTTCTTCTGAACAAAATAATGAAGGGGGCGTGGGAGCGTGGCGGTGAGGTGTGGGAAGCTGTAAGCCCCAGGCTACCATGGGCTCACCTTCCTATCAACCATTGGCGAGGAGTGGCAGTGGTGGTTACTTATGCCCCCACCGAAGATGAACGACAGTGGAAGGATGCAGACAAGGCCGATGAGTTAGATGCCTTCTATGACCTCCTGTCACAGGTGCTAGCTAAAGTGGCCCCTCGGGATAGAGTCATCCTGTTGGGTGACTTCAATACTCGAGTTGGTCATGATGTTGGCATCTGGTTTAGAGTGATTGAAAGGAATGGGCCAGGTCAGCTCAATAACAACGGTAGGAGGCTGCTAGACTTCTCTGCAGTCCATGGGTTTGTAATTACCAATACGCTGTTCCAGCATCGGTGCATCCACGCAACATCATGGATGCATGCCGAATCAAAGCAAGAATATCTTCTATACAATATAGTGATAAAACAGTGGATGCGGGCCCATGTCCTTGACACCAGGACCTACCATGGAGCTGATCTGCCCACTGACCAACAGCTTGTCATCTGTAAGATACACTTGCCATTCTTCCACTCCGGTGGTGGATGTACATTAAGGACCCAATTCGAACCCACAGTGACATGGTCTCAGCTCGCTGATGAAAGTTGCAAACGAGAATGTCATCATCACTTGCAGCTTGGGTTGGCATCGTCCCCCACTCCTCCGGATATAGAGGGGGAAAGGGTGAGGTTTAGGACTGTGGCTCATGCAACTGCAAAGGCTGCATACGGTCCAGACTAACCCCAACTTGGAAAACATAATGGGGCAAAGTGGGGATGACCCTGCTGAGGCTGCGGTGCCTCAAATATTAGAAAAAGTTATCACCCCCTGTGAGTTGGTGGCTGAAGTGCCATTTGTTGAGGAAGTACAGAAGGTATTAACAATATGGACCACTAGACGAGTTCCGCAGGATGACTGGGTGGTCTTTTTCTTTAAGCAGGGGGACTGCCCAAACTGTAACAAATACAGGGGCATCTCCCTGATAATTTTGCTGGGAAAGGTCCTGGCAAAGATGATTTTATTCAACATCGACTTGCCAGGCATGCTGAGGAGAGGCTTGGGGAGCCCCTATGTGGTTTCAGGCCAGGGCGGCCCTGCACAGATGCCATATCATCTGTCCATCTGCTACAGCAGAGGTGTAGGGAACTCCAACAAGACCTACATCTCTGCTTTAATGACCTATTCAGGGACTCCAAAAGCAACCCAGAGCCCTGGCCTATTGATGGTATCTTAGGCATGGAACAGCTCAATAAAATAGAAAGGTAGGTCTTGTTGGAATTCACCTGATGACGATAACTTGTGTTGCGATCCAAACCTCTGATGTAGCAGACGGACAGAAAAAATGGCGTTTGTGCAGGACTGCCCTGGCCTGAAACCCCTTTGGGGCTATGCAAGCCTCTCCTGAGCATGCCAGGCAAGGCGATGTTGAATAATCCTTGCGAGGACCTTTCTGGCCAGACTGAGGAGGAGGAATATGCCGCTGTAGTTGTTACAATCTGCACGGTCTTAAAGCGGGGAACCACAAGGGCATCCTGCCAATCCTGTGGAACCCGTCCTGTGGTCCAGACAATTGTGACGATGTCACGTAGGGCAGTCTGCAGCACACAGATGCCACCCTCCCTCAGCATGTCGCTTGGGAAATCACTCTCACTCATACACACACGCGCAAGCATGACGCTTGCTTAAAAATATATATTTTAAATATCATCTCACCTGTACGGATGATCCATTAGCTAATTTTCTTTCCCAGCTGACCATCTCGTCGTCAGGGACGGGCTCGTTAAAGAGACACGGAAGGAGCACGTCGGAGCCAACTTCTGTCTTTACGAGGCCCTGAGCCAAGGCGGAGCGACCACAGCTCAGGAAGCAGGAGATCCCTGCAATAGACGCGTGAGAAAAAATAAAACATTAATCACACGGCAACGTGCCGAACAGCCACAGCGCATCGCGTGGTGCAGCGGTAACACTCGCTTAGCCTCGCAGGAAGAAACACCTGGGTTCGATTCCACCACTTTTCTACAGTGAGTGAGTGGAGTTTGTGTGATCTCCCTCTGTTCTACACAGTGAGTGAGTGGAGTTTGTATGATCTCCCTCTGTTCTACAGAGTGAGTGAGTGAGTGGAGTTAGTATGATCTCCCCCTGTACGACAGAGTGAGTGAGTGAGTGGAGTTAGTATGATCTCCCTCTGTACGACAGAGTGAGTGAGTGAGTGGAGTTAGTATGATCTCCCCCTGTACGACAGAGTGAGTGAGTGAGTGGAGTTTGTATGATCTCCCTCTGTTCTACAGAGTGAGTGAGTGAGTGGAGTTAGTATGATCTCCCCCTGTACGACAGAGTGAGTGAGTGGAGTTTGTATGATCTCCCCCTGTACGACAGAGTGAGTGAGTGTAGTTTGTATGATCTCCCTCTGTTCTACAGAGTGAGTGGAGTTTGTATGATCTCCCCCTGTTCTACAGAGTGAGTGAGTGAGTGGAGTTAGTATGATCTCCCCCTGTTCTACAGAATGAGTGAGTGAGTGGAGTTTGTATGATCTCCCGCTGCTCTACAGAAGTTCAACAACAAGAACAAGAACAGCGCACAGTGGCCGTGTGTAACCCACAGACAAGGCCACGCTCAGTACACGGTTGACGCAAAGCTGGTTTAGGGCTCATACTTGGGGTTGATAATACTGGGTGGCTGTGTGTGGGTGGCAGTGCGTGGGTGGCAGTGTGTGGGTGGCTGTGTGTGGATGGCAGTGCGTGGGTGGCTGTGTGTGGGTGGCAGTGCGTGGGTGGCAGTGTGTGGGTGGCAGTGCGTGTGTGGCAGTGCGTGGGTGGCTGTGTGTGGGTGGCAGTGTGTGGGTGGCAGTGCGTGGGTGGCAGTGCGTGGGTGGCAGTGCGTGGGTGGCAGTGCGTGGGTGGCAGTGCGTGGGTGGTTGTGGTTATTGGGTGGGTATTTTCGGGGATTTCCCCACGACAGTCAAGAATCATCTGCACAGCGCACGCGATGCAGCAGCATCAGCAATATAATCTTGTGTCCATACTGCAGGAGGAATACGATGAGCTATGATAATCAATGGGTCTCCGTGGGTCTCTATGGGTCTCTATGAGTCTCTGATTCGCTATGGGGGTCTCTATGGGTCTATATGGGTCTCTGAGTGTCTATGGGGGTCTCTATTGGTCTCTTTGAGTCTCAATAGGTCATTATTGGTCTCTATGGGTATCTAAGTCTCTATGGGTCTCTATGGGTCTTAATACGTCATTGTTGGTCTATATTGTTCTCTGATTATCTATGGGTCTCTATGAGTCTCTGAGTCTCTATGGCTCTCCGAATCAGAATATTGTATTCATACAGCAGGAGGAATCCGATGAGCTATTAAGCTTTTCTCCCACAGATGCACAGTAGGGGCACGCGGTATACCGCGTTCTTATAAGAACGTGACATCAACAAACTCAATAGCAGTGCAAAGTACAAAACAGATCAACACAAATCACCCAGACGCACGCACAGGCGCACCGCTGAACCACCCCCCATCCTACCAGGCAAAGCCCCACTGAGCTATTAACTTGCTTCTCACAAGCGAACACGGCCACCACAAACTGATTGCAACTCAACAAAAGTTTCCCCAAATCATCATTAGACCTCCTTTGCCAGTACCAGAATTTAATAATAGGGCTGATCCCCTTTTTTCTGGCAACAAAACTATTATATTTTGGTACTGGTGTAGTGAGTTCCAGGGAGACTGACGACGGAGTCGAGGCACACTCTTTTATTCCACTCAAGGGCAGTAACAACACTTGAAGGGGTAACGGCCCCTTCACCCGTACTAGATGGGAAACCACCCCTAGCACTAATTCCCCTGTCCTGTTCCCAGTCCTCCTCTAATAGTGCTACGGGAGGCTGTCTGATCCGGCCCTGGTAAGCACGGATCCCGGCACCAGCTAAGCCGGCCTTGCTCTTACAAGAGCAGAGGTCCAGAAGCTCTTGGGGCCGCGCCGCTGGCTTGCCCAGCTCGGCCCTGACGAGGGCAGCGAGACAGGGGAGTCCCAGGGCCTATTCTGCCGGTCTTCAGACTTCACTGGTCAGCTTCTTCTAAAACTGGCCCCGAGCTCTCTGGCTCCCCGCCTTTTATAGGGATCCCGTCGGAGGGGCGGGGTTATGGGGGATCACAGAGCCCCCATGGCCCCCCAGTGGTTAACGAATGCGGACGTGGGTGTAGACACCCGTGTGTGGGTGCAGACACCCTTGTGTTTCCCGTCCGCCTTTTCTCCCCGTAATAACCCCTACACTGGCAAAGGAGGTCTAATGATGTAGATGCTCACCCCCAGTCCTCATTACTTTGATAGTGCAGCTGTCTTTGAGCTGTACGCCTTTTGGCGTCCTCTGGTCGAGCACCAACTGAGACGAGGCTCCAAAGAAAGCCGTCCCTTGGTGTGGACCAATCAGTTTCAAGGACAATGCCAATGTATTGTCATAGTGTCTTTTTTGTTTGCATTTTGACTGCAAGTATTGTGGTTAATACAGACATGAATCCTCGTAAAAAGGTTTCAGTTTTGTTGCCAGAAAAAAGGGAAATAACCCCTATTATTGCCCCAAATCATTTGGACATTGATAGCAGCAGCAGCATCAACAAACATGTCAACCCCTTATCAGTGCCCTACCTTAACACAGACCAATTCAGACCTTTATCGGTCACCCCGTGCCCCTTGTAAATATCAAAGTTCATCCTACAAAGTCCCATCGCGAGACAGAAACGCAAACAAATAGACACTAATCAGTTCAACACGGAGGCTTTCACGACCAATATCATCCAAAACAGAGGGTTTTTTTGGGTTAGATCGCGTAAATCTATAAATGTGTCGTTAAAACCCGCCAACACCTCTATTATAGACAAACAATTTTGTAAACTCAATTTCCCTGTTCAAGATAAACGGATGGGTTGACAGTTATGGCTCACACGAGGGGGTGGGTGGCCAGCACCACGCCCGACCGCCTTTGTCTCCCCCAGTGGCGATGTTCACTACTACACACCGCTACACCAGGTACTCATTTGAGGCTGAGTCGAACTAGGGAAGGCCCAGAACTAGTTCAGATAATCGTCACCGGTGTTGGCCGTAAGCGGGAATCGATCTCGGGTCGCCAGGTTCGTAGCGCAGCGTATCGCTAACCACTACACTACTGCTCCCTACACAGACGTAGACACACAGACGTAGACACACAGACACACAGACACACACTCACAGACACACACTCACAGACACACACTCACAGACACACACACAATTCACGCGTGGGGTTTCCCACTCCGTGATTGTTTTGTTACAAACCAGTTACAAGAGTCAATTTTTCTGTTCCTTAAAGTTGTCATTGTTCTGTGGACGTGTGATTGTGTGTTTACGTGTGTGTGTGGGGGGAGTGGTGGGTGTAGTGGTTAGCGCTACGCTGCGTTACGAACCCGGCGGCCCGAGTTCGATTCCCGCTCACGGCCAACAACACCGCCAGTGACGATTATCTGAACCGGTCCTGGGCCTCCCCTTGGTCGACTCAGCCTCAAATGAGTAGCTGGTGTAGTAGCGGTGTGTAGTAGTGAACATCGCCACTGGGGGAGAGACAAAGGCGGCCGGTGCTGGCCACCCACCCCTTCGTGTGCTGTTCTGGCCTTCATAGGTGCTACTCGCTAACAGCACTTGCCCCAAATAGTCTGCTACAGGCTATACGGGGGATCTTTGTCTTTGTACGTGTACGTGTGTTTATGTGCGTGTGTGTGTTTACGGCCGCCTTTGTCTCCCCAGTGGCGATGTTTTACGCACCGCACCAGCTACTCATTTGAGGCTGAGTCGACCTAGGGGAGGCCCAGGACTGGTTCAGATAATCGTCACCAGTGGTATTGGCCATGAGCGGGAATCGAACTCGGGTGGCCGGGTTCGTAGCGCAGCGCTAACCACTACATTACCGCTCCCCCAACACTACATTCACACGCATACTCACACGCACATACTCGCACACATACTCACTCGCACACACATACTCACACATACATACTCACAAATACATACCCACTCACACATAGATGCATCACCACCTGTACCACCTAATGTGCCAACTTGCTGTTTTTTATCCACCCGGCGCTCCGCTCGTTGTTGTGAGCGTCGCTACTCTGCCCTCCTTTATTGCTGGAGGGCAACTGCCTCTAACTGCCCAGTAGTCTCAAGGTGCACCTAGCCTGGCACTACCAAGCAGCGTCCTTTACGAACCTCCTCCTCCACAGAGGCCGGTCTTGACACCGATGGTACCAGTCATCGGCAAGTCCACTCAGCTCCACATCCTCCTGTACCACATCACTCCATCTCTTCTCTAGCCCGTTCCACTCGCTCGCTCACCCACCCACTCATTCACCCACTCATTCACCCACTCACCCACTCACTCACCCACTCACTCACCCACTCACCCACCCACTCACCCACTCACTCACTCACCCACTCACCCACTCACCCACTCACCCACTCATTCACCCACTCACCCACTCACCCACTCATTCACCCACTCACCCACTCACCCACTCACCCACTCATTCACCCACTCACCCACCCACCCACTCACCCACCCACTCACTCACCCAGGAACATCGCTGCGGCGGTGCCATGCCGGTTGATCCTGGCCATCTTCCGCCTCTTCTCTCGCTGTGAGAGCCCCCAGAACTCTGCGCAGAGATCCGAGATGAGTGGCAGCTTCTTGTCTTGGTCTCTGTCTCTGTCAGAACGAGGAAAGAGACGCTGCAAGGTGACACAGACGCCTGCTTTGTGCTTCCAGTGTTCAGGGTTCTGCTCGAGGCGCGGCTCCGGCTGGAGCACGCCATGTACCACACACATCAAAGTTCAAAGTTCAAGTATTAGGTATAGCCCTGTGAGCCATTCGGCTCTTGAATCGGGTGCAACCGCAACAAACAAAAAACAAAAACATGAACAAGAAAACATCTTAAAGTGACTATGTGCAAACAGAAAATCCAAGAAAAGACAGCAAAATATTGCAGAAAAATCACTGTACACCAACGCTGTGCAAATATCTCAGTGGGATGCAAGTCAAACAACACCAACCACAAGACAACTTAGATTAAGGCCATCAGTCTAACTCTGCACTACAACAAACAAACATGGCCAAACCAAAACACTTTTCGAAAATCACCTAAATAAAGCCATAAAAGCAATGAAACAGTGATCATAGGAACTGTGACCGAATTTTCATGTCGGTGATGTGCAGCGTGTCTTCTTCCAACGCTGGGGGGCCGGACAAGCCCCCCTCTGTAGCAGCGTGGACGGCACCCTCGTGGTGTTCACCTTCTGAAGCGCTCGCTCGTCACCGTGGCGTGCGCGGTGACCACCACCACCACGTGACTTCGCTTTTGTGTTGTGCGTGGCGCATTGAGCGCCACAGCGCGTGGATTTTGTGGTGTTTGTTTATTTGCCTGCGGGTGACTTTGTGTGTTTCGTATCGGAATCGCCTCCAGTGCTTTTGCAATAAAATTTGTTTAAAAATCTCTCTGTCTCTCTCTCCGTCTGTGTCTCTCTGTGTGAGTATCTCTGTGTGTCTGAGTGTGTATCTGTGTGTATCTGTGTGTGTATATGTGTATCTCTGTTTATCTGTGTATCGGTGTGAGTATCTGTGTGTGTGTATCTCTATGTGTGTATCTGTGTGTATGTATCTGCGTGTATCTGAGTATCTCTGTGTGTGTATCTGTGTGTCTGAGTATCTGTGTGTGTGTATCTGTGTACCTGTGTGTGTATCTCTGTGTGTGTATCTGTGTGTGTCTGAGTATCTGTGTGTACCTGTGTGTGTATCTCTGTGTCTATGTATCTCTGTATGTGAGTAGATGTGTGTATCTGAGTATCAGTGTGTGTCTCTGTGTATCTGTGTGTGTATCTGTGTAAGTATCTGTGTGTATCTGCGTGAGTAGATGTGTGTATTTGTATGTATCTGTGTGTATCTGAGTATCTGTGTGTGTATGTATCTGAGTATCTGTGTGTGTATCTCCTCACCTCGTGCAGTGCTGGAGTGGCCTCTGCTTTCGTCTCGAGTGCAGCTCCACCACCTGCTGCTGCTGTGAGAAGACACGGAAGCAGCCCCTCCAGATGTAGCGAGTCTGGGTTCAATCCCCCCTCCCTCCCTACCTCGTTCCGTCCCTCCTCAGTGAACCGGAGCACGTCATTGCTGGGTAGGTGCGGAAGGAAGTGGGGTCTTTGTCTGTGTGTAGCAGCAACAACAACAACAACAGCCAGGCAGGTGTAGTGGGGGTGGGGTCTGTGTCTGTGTGGAGCAGTAACAGCAACAGCCAGGCAGGTGTAGTGGTGAGTGGATGGAGTCTGTGTCTGTGTGTATCAACAGCAACTACATCAAGGGTGGTGTAGTGGAGTCTGTGTCTGTGTGTAACAACAACAACAACCACCACAAGGCAGGTGTAGAGGGGGGTGGAGTCTGTGTCTAACAACAACAACAACCACCACAAGGCAGGTGTAGTTGTGGGTGGAGTCTGTGTCTGCAACAGCAGCAGCAACAACAACAGCTCACGGCCATTAAAATGGCGGCATCGCCGTCGTATGTTGCGCGTTTTTCTCAACAACTTTGCCCAGGGAGGGAGGGGGGGGGCGATGGGGAGGGGGAGGTTCGTCGCTGCCCATCGTTAATCCGCGTGGCACGTTCCAGCTGCCCGCCGTCGACGGAGCGACGACGACGTCACAGTCGAGGCTGTCGCGGCCCAATGGGAGGACGACGATGACGACGATGACGACAGGAAACGTTTCCAATGGCCGCCAGAATCAGAATCAGAAAGGGTTTTATTCGCCATGAAAGTTCGCACAGACAAGGAATTTACTTTGGCGGGAAGGTGCATACATTCAACATATAGGGATCTTAAATCTTAAATAAGTGGTTTACAAGTCTAACTATACTAAAGGTACAAAGTCTAACTAATACTACGGAGCTAAAGTATGTCAAAATTGAATAAAATAAAATCTAAATGTACAGTGGCTATAATATACAATCTATAATTACAAAAATGCAAATAGGGTAACATAGTGCATATATGGCAGGGTGTCATTGTGCAGATATTGTGTTAAAGTCAGTTTGAGCGTTAAAGTCAGTAGGGGCAGCCCTACGAGGGGGGCCCACAGCGAGCGAGGCTCCTCCTAAGGCCCCCCTCGTGTCGTCTTTGTTGTTGTTAGCGGCGTTGGGGCGCGATCCTCAAGAGGCGAGGACCTTTCACTGGCGCGGTCGCAAGGGGCGAGAAGAAGAAAAGGAGGGAGTAGGAGGAGGAAGAGGACACGGGCCCCTTCACTGCTTCATGACCAATTAACTTTTCACGTTTGTTTCCGGTATCGAAAGGATTGGGGAGGGAGAGGGGGTTACCCACCAACCCACGTGATCGGCATCAATTCTAGATTAAAAGTGTTCGTGACTGCAAGGGCCCATACTCTTTGGTTGTTTCGTTGTACTGGTGACAATGACAATAAACGATCTATCTATCTATCTAAAGTCACGTAGGTAAAAAAAAAACTTGATACAGTCATGTTGCTGTGACGGTGCCACCTGAAGACGGAAGCTTGTGTTTGTGATTTAATTTATTTGTATTTTATTTTTTACCTACGTGACTTTACCAAAAAAACCAAAGAGTGTGTGATCGGCATCGCCATTGAGACGGTCCGTGCTCCACCGGATGGGACAAGACGGAGCCCCCCACTGAGCACCCAGGCAGGCGGCAAGCAGCCCGGACTCAGTCGGTGTTGCGAAGTAGCAGGGCGCCCCAGGGGCTCGGGAGATGTTTACTACCTCGCCTGGTACACAGGAGGTCGTGGGTTCGATCCCGACCCTGACGACGCCTACTGCTGTCTATTTGGAGTCTGTGTTTCTCTCATCGTCATCATCACGGTGGCAAAGAGATGTTGACTACCTCGCCTGGTGTACAGGAGGTCGTGGGTTCAATCCCGACCCTGACGTCGCCTACTGCTGTCTATTTTGGAGTCTGTGTTTCTATCATCATCATGGTGGCTAAGAGATATTGACTACCTCGCCTGGTACACAGGAGGTCGTGGGTTCGATCCCGACCTTGACGACGCCTGCTGCTGCCTATTTGGAGTCTGTGTTTCTCTCATCATCATCATCACGGTGGCTATGAGATGTTGACTACCTCGCCTGGTGTACAGGAGGTCGTGGGTTCGATCCCGACCTTGACGACGCCTGCTGCTGTCTATTTGGAGTCTGTGTTTCTCTCTCTCATCATCATCACGGTGGCTAAGAGATGTTGACTACCTCGCCTGGTGTACAGGAGGTCGTGGGTTCTATCCTGACCTTAACGATGTCTGCTGCTGCTGCTGTATATCTGGAGTCTGCGTCTCTCTCCCCGTGGTGGTCACTGCGTGGATTTGTTTCCGAGTCCTCCGGTTTTTCCGGGTCCACATGTAGAATCAACATCGCCACGCGTTTAGAGTATTTGACTGCTGCTGTACGTTTCCACGTGATGATCATAGGGGCCATCCTTAAGTGACGTCACGCACCTGGGGGGGGTCAGACATTTGTGACAATGTGTGACGAGGGAGGGTGGGGGGGGTTGAGAAATGTGACGTCACATCTAAATGCGCAACTTTAAATAAATATAGACAACACGTTCTACTTAATTAAATAGACTTTTTAATAAATGTTTTCTCCTACAACATCAGAGTGTAGCTCCACATTAAATACGCACTTCAATGACAATAGTTCAAAGCGATTTGCAGCATGTTTTATTTTTGCGGGGGGGGGGGGCAGAGCTTTGTGACATCATATTTGAGGGGGGGTCTGCCTTTTTGTGACGCCGTGTGACGATGGGGGGGGGGGGGTCAAAAATCGTCCAGAATTGAGTGACGTCATTTATGGACGGCCCCATATCAGCCACGTGGTTGAGATGTTAACATTTGTGATGGGCAGGTCGCTTCTGATAAAGAGGCACACATCTCAATGGCGCCTTACACTGGTAACAATCAAGTTTAGTTTTAGTATGGATCTCGATAAGTATGGGTCTCTGTGGGTCTCTGTGAATATCTATAAGTATGGGTCTCTGTGGGTGTCTGTGAGTCTCTGTGGATATCTGTGGGTCTCTGTGAATATGGGTCTTTGTGGGTTCTGTGGGTCTCACTGGATCTCTGTGGGTCTCTATGAGTGTGGGTCTCTATGAGCGTGGGTCTCTATGACTGTGGGTCTCTATGAGTTTGGGGCTCTGTGAGTGGGGATCTCTATGACTGTGGGTCTCTATGAGTGTGGGTCTCTAAGAGCGTGGGTCTCTATGACTGTGGGTTTCTTATGACTGTGGGTCTCTGAGTGTGGGTCTCTGTGGGTGTGGATCTCTATGAGCGTGGATCTCTATGAGCGTGGGTCTCTATGAGTTTGGATCTCTATGAGCGTGGGTCTCTATGAGTGTGGATCTCTAGGAGTGTGGGTCTCAATGAGTATGGGTCTCAATGAGTATGGGTCTCTATGAGTGTGGGACTCTATGAGTGTGGGACTCTATGAGTGTGGGTCTCTGTAAGTGTGGAGCTGTACTGGCGCGGTTCGTCCACTAGGGGTCGATGGGGCGCCGCCCCACCAAGCAGCTGGGGATAAATTACATTATGTAACACGATTTTTGTCCCTGGGTGGTAAAGTGTTATTTTCTAATTGCTTATGCCTCAATAGTACAGAAAGCTTGCTGCTATTATTATTCCCCACAAACGTTGCTTTCGTGACCAGGTATTTTCGTGAAAGAATGACACAAATGCACACCACGTTTTCTCATTGAAAATAGGCACATTTCAAAATATCAGTGTCCTGGTCACAAAGCAAAGTTTGTGGGGAATATCAATCGCCACTTTCTGTACTTATGAGGCATAAACAATTAGAAAGGAACACTTTACTACCCAGGGACAAAAAAAAACCGTTTTGTTACCGTTCTGCCTCACGGCAGGTGTTTTGCTCCACGGCAGGAGTGGGGGTGTGTAGACAGGAATTTCCTGTTTTGAGCTTGAGTTTGGTCACGTGACCAGGAAGTTCCGATTTGACAGCCTTTCAGCCACGAGGCTGGGGGTCCGCCATTACACAGAGTTCAAGATGGTGGCACAAATCACGACCCAGTGAAGACAGCTGTAACTGTACATTGTGGGACTTTAAGAAGCATTGTCTGTAAGTTCGTTCATGTTCTGATAATATTGGGAATGCTGTTATAATGTTAGAACGACCGTTATAATGCCGTAAATGACTTTATGAAGCTGTTAAATTGTTATGATAAATACGAGGCCTAGTTAACAACAAAGCCTGCAACTTGCCTTATTGTAAATGTTACTTGTAATTGAATAAGTCGAGTCAAACTTGTACCCAAGTAACTATATTGCGATCTGCAGAGCAAGGATGACGAAATGTATCATTCATAGTGCTGTGTTATATGCAATGCTGTACATCTGGGGTGTAGTGTGATGATTGCACGATGTGCCTTTGTTTAACACAGGTGCTTGTTCTCTTGTATAGCTGTTCAGTGCTGTTGTGGGTGCCTGGTCCATCCAGGATCTATTGTTGAGTTTCAGGTTATCTAGGACAATGTGATGCTGTAGTGGTCATGCAATGTGTTGATGTTTCCAAGTATTAACAGATGGTGTATCTGTGCTGTGTTTTTCCATCAGTTTTACCTCGTTCAATTAAATAAATTACGTTTGGAGTCGGATGTTCACCCTGGCTCTGAGGGTTTATTGGATGCGAGGTTAACTACTCAGCGGTGCAACGCAGCGCACAGCGAGGCCGAGACGGTTACACAGTGTTATTTTTCGTACAAAAATACTTTTGACTTGAAGCTTTTGTGACTGCAGGAATTCAAATTCTCTGGGTCTTTCGGTAAAGTCACGTCGATAGGTTCCAATTGATAAAAATAAAATAAACAAAAATCTACGACGTTTCGATCACAACACAAGCGATCGTCATTAGGAGGACGATCGCTTGAGTTGTGATCGAAAAGTCGTCGTTTTATATTTTATTAATATGGAACCGATCTACATGAATTTACCGAAAGACCCAAAGAATAAAAATACTTTTCTATAAATTGTTTTTGTTGTGTTTAAAAAAAGAAAGTATAATGATGCTTTAAAAGCGAGCTGCTGAAGATAACATTTTAAG